GTATATTGTATATATATTTGAGAGTCGTCTGTAGTGCGTATGTTTTGATTGATTCTACACAGTTCATATTACATACTGTATATACATATAAGGCCATCTATACCATATATAGTAGGGGCGCTCTCGTGCATTTGGGGTCTTCTCATGAGGGTTTTCTCAGGTACCGGTAATGCCAAGTATTATAGGATTGAGTGTCATACTCAATATGCCTGACATATAGCAATTAAATCATACACTCAATTTCAGCATAATATGTGAGCACGGATCACACAGTCCTCTTTCCATAAAAGTTAACGAAGTCGAAGTTACTGTTTCGTAAGTATTTTGATTTGTATTTTGATGAATTTGAGGAGATTTTGAAAAATTCCGAACATTGGTCATGGTCATATGCTTAGTTTTATGCTTGATTTGCAAATCGCAGAAATAGTTTTGTCAAAGCGTGAAGAAAAACCTGTATTTTTGAGACAGAAATCATCTCTATGTTCTATTATTAATACATTATAGACCGTCTCATGTTGGATATAATATTGCGTCAATTTTCTGCAGCCTACGTTTCATTGCAAGGTTCCAAGGCTTCGCTGTAAAAGTATTTAACTGAGTAAGGTATTGATTCTTGAAGTTTGCAGTGTGCCTGGTAGTTTGCGTCAATAGATTTAATGCTGCGTATATAATGTGGTAAATGCGCCTAGCAGTATTATTCATATTTGCGCGACAATAACAAATATCGTGTACTTCTCAACATAGTCCCTATCTGGTGTTCGGTGCATGACGGTCGGCTTTACAGTTTCAGATTCACATTCAGATTCAAATATGAAAATAGATCAGGTGTCTGGCGTATAAAATGTCGAATTACTCAATTTATTTCTACGCACTAAACTTGCTAACGAATTTCATTCTTCTTCAGAACATTGCGCATTGAACAAATGTATTTTGAAGTCTTTAGCGCAAAATGTGAAGTCAGGAAAAATCGCAAAAGATAGACGATCAAGACGTGAATTCATGCTGCGCCATATTGTCGCAAGTGATCGGCAATATTATATTTCTCTGTCTAAAGCAAAATACATTGAAATATTTTCCAGCAAATCCATTCTTCTACAACTATCATAGAATGATATAACGCACTCGTTAGCTTCAAACAACTTCTGGTTTCAGCAGAAAAAATCGCAAAAGTCAACTCGTTGGAACTCGTGCTGGACTCAAAAACCCGGGTGGGCATTGGAACACTCCTGCAAGTCCGCTCAGTCTGATATAATGCATTTTTTACTTAATAGTTGATCCATGCCAACATATAAAAAAATTGTAATGTTTAGCTATGGCAGCAGCTATGGTTTAGCCGTATTTTTTCGCGGAAAAAGTACTTGAAATCGTTTTATATGTAGAATGATAGACTGACTGCCCCCGGATTTTATTGTTCCATATTGAAATTTCCCGTAGTTTCACATTCATTTTCAGATTCGCACTAAAACAGTGATAATCTGCACAAATCGCTAAACCACTGCAACAGTTTTAATGCAGCCCATATCGTAAATATTTTCATTCATCTACATCATTGTGCGCTTCATTTGACGCGGTTTTCATTGCGATTCACCATTGTGTGCGTGCAGGAAAAATAGCAAAAGACAGACCATCAAGACGTGAATTCACGCTGCGCCATATTGTCACAGGTGATCGGCAATATTATATTTCGCTGTGTAAAGCAGAATACCAGCTGTAGCTCCCTAAACTCTAAAATTCATTCATTACTACATTATAGTGAATGGCATAAAATAAACTAGATCTTAAAACCGTTTGTCGTTTTGTCAGGAAAAATCGCAAAACGTAGCTGACGCGAACCGGCTTTTGTAACCCGAAGCGAATGACAACAACGCAGCTGAGCGAATAAATACTTCTCACGCATCACACGTTTACATTGACAAATTTTTCAGCAAATCCATTCTTCTACAACTATCATAGAATGATAAAACGCACTCGTTAGCTTCAAGCAACTTCTGGTTTCAGCAGGAAAAATCGCAGAAGACAACTCGTTGGAACTCGTGCTGGACTCTAAAATCCGGGTGGGCATTGAAATTCTTCTGCAAGTCCGCTTAGTCTGATATAAGTGCATTTTTTTCTTAATAGAAGATGTATGCCAGCATATTTAAAATTTTATAATGCTTGGTCATATTGTTTTCGCGGAAAAAGTATTTGAAGTTGCTCTATGTGCAGAATGATAAAATGACTGACCCCCCGGATTTTATTGTTTCATATTGAAATTTCCCGTAGTTTCACATTCATTTTCAGATTCGCAATAAAACAGTGATAATCTGCACAAATCGCTAAACCACTGCAACAGTTTTAATGCAGCCCATACCGTAAAGATTTTCATTCATCTACATCATTGTGCGCTTCATTTGACGCGGTTTTCATTGCGATTCACCATTGCGTGCGTGCAGGAAAAATCGCAGAAGACAGACCATCAAGACGTGAATTCATGCTGCGCCATATTGTCACAAGTGATCGGCAATATTATATTTCGCTGTGTAAAGCAGAATACCAGCTGTAGCTCCCTAAACTCTAAAATTCATTCATTACTACATTATAGTGAAATAGTGAATGGCATAAAATAAACTAGATTTTAAAACCGTTTGTCGTTTTGTCAGGAAAAACCGCAAAACGTAGCTGACGCGAACCGGCTTTTGTAACCCGAAGCGAATGACAACAACGCAGCTGAGCGAATAAATCCTTCTCACGCATCACACGTTTACATTGAAATATTTTCCAGCAAATCCATTCTTCTACAACTATCATAGAATGATATAACGCGCTCGTTAGCTTCACACAACTTCTGGTTTCAGCAGGAAAAATCGCAAAAGACAACTCGTTGGAACTCGTGCTGGACTCAAAAATCCGGGTGGGCATTGGAACACTCATGCAAGTCCGCTCAGTCTGATATAATGCATATTTTACTTAATAGTAGTTTCCTACGCAGCCTGTTCGCGGGTCCGAGGTTTTCTCCCCACTAACAGGCTGCTTACTGCAGCAACACATTCCATTCCGATTGTTTCAACTTGACCAATCAGGAAACGGCATGACGTATGCTTCCCGCCAAATTCAGTAGTGACTAATTTATTGTTCAGTGCTAAATATATCTCAGTGTTTACTGCTGTTAAAATATATTACACGCCTGTTTGAAATAATCAACTTGTTTATATTCTGTATGACGGGAGAAGTGCCCTTGGTATAGCTGATCTGATCAAGGTATCAGTATAAAATGTTGATGTGAACAATATTCTGACAGTAACGATTTATTTATTTGCAAAAACGTCTGTTATATGAAACGGTTGTTGTCTAGTTGAGGCTGAAAGTTACTATTATTATTAAAGACACAATCCATGGACCCAGCTTTTATCGTCCCATATTTCGTTCCTACTCCTTGGAACTGTGAGTAAAACTGTATGTGATACCTACAATACATTGGGGAAAGCGTTACTGTATGGACCTCTATATACGGCAGCCGGGCAGTAATATGAAATGCAACCCGTTCGCCATGTGGTTACACAGAAAGTGCTTGACATCGTTTCCCAGGAAGTTAGCGATTTGTGTTTTAGAAAGAAACTCTCGACTGTGTTAAAAAAACTGGGGAGGATGATCTAAAGAAATTCAGTCTTGAGCAGCTATGTGGCTCAGTGCTGTTCAAGCAAAGAAATGATAAAATGAGCGCGACCGCCTTGGCTATTGTGTTGGGTTTAGAGGTGTTGGGTATCCTTCTCAAATAATCTCGCTCGACTGAGGTTATATAACGGAGGCTATTTAGGCTTGTACAAAAAATATGCTGTAAAGCAAAAGTACTCGCGGGTATTACGAGTTCTCAGACTTTTATGGTTTCAAAAGTGTTCGGATTTTATGCGCTCAAATAAAACCCGACTCCCGAGCACTTTTGAAACCATAATAGAAGTCAAACCCGCGAGCACTTTTTTCAGCCTATTTTTACAAGCCTAAATTAAAACTAAAACTATATATGAGTAGCATTTAAGTGTATCATTAAGTACATTGCTATAGAGTATAGTTTTAACTAGCAAATGTATATAAATATTTTTATATTTGATTTCGTGTTAATTTGAATACATGCATGCAGTAATTCGAAATTGACAACTTGTCGTTCAAAATAGTTGTTTACAAATTTATATGGTCTTATATATATTATATATTTTTATTTCATTTTCCCCATATATAAAAAAAGTTACTTAAAATTTATCTTTAAACGATTTTGGGCTAGATACCTACTATAGACATCTTCGTAGACTTTCTATTTAGATTTTAGGCTTCTAGTTTTATAAATACTGTTCATTTGTAATAATTATTACTAGTAAATCACATAGACATAGTGTCATACATGCAATATGTAAAATGAGACGTTTTGAAGAATATGTACGTCTGTATTTACAACAGAGAAAAAGAAGTTACTGTAAGGGAGCGGTCATTAATTATTGGGGGGGGAGGGCCGGTAAATTTAGGGGGAGGGCTACCATTTTTTGGACCCCCTTTTGGGGAGGGCCAAATTTTTTTGTGCCCATCTAGAAGGGAGGGCCACAAATATTTGGGCACCTATTTCATTAAAAAGTTATATTTCAATGACCAATTCAATGGGCCCGTACACGGATAATGAATGAAGGCTTCCATGCAGAGATAATTAAAACGAAATTTATTTCACCAACACCAGAACAATTTCTTTCACCAACGATAATAAATCATATTTTATACATGTAATGTCAAGTATAACAACTAGTTGATACTCATATATTTCCTCACTTGCCGAGCCTGTAAAGTTCATTGCTAAGTTTCAGCAATATGGTGTACATTGTTTCATGTCAATAATATGCGGTACAATAAAATCTAACAAACGGAAATCTTACAAATATATGGTCTGTAGTATAAAACATATACGTGATCAGTCTGAGTCACATATTGGTTGACAGTAAGGTATACATCCAGAGGTTTCCCAGTATGGACCAACATGAAATATGAATGACGATGACGACGTGGAAGAGTTCAGCAAAAAGTATGTGGTGGAAAAAAGGCTTGTTACACAGTACCTGGAACATCTTCGCGAACTAGAAAGAAGGAAAAAAAAGAGGGAAGATAACAGAAAGCGCGCAAATCTGGAAGAAAAGAGAAAGACCTTTGAAAATTACAACTGGAAAGCTATTTACAGAGAAGGAAAAATAAAGAAACTGAAAGTTGTTGTATTGGACATGTATATATCAATGAGAAATTTGAAGCAGTCGAAAGGGGCGTTAAAGCAAGAAAAAGTTGACATCGTATCACTTGACATAGCAAAGTCGCTAGTCCTTGATAACCGTCAACTTTCTGATGATGACAGAGATAGTAACGACCAGGATTCTGGTGACGACGATGTTGTCGTGCAAGAGATTGGAATGATGTACTATTTAATGCATGTATAGGAGGAGTGTTTTATACTATATAGCCATATTTTATTCACGAAATTATGTCGCTGTTTGATGCTTGACCGATTGGAAGGAAGCTATCTGAGGAAAGGGAGGGTCACAATTTTCTGGGCTATTATTTTGTGGGGGGCTAAAATTTTTGGGCGCTAATTTGAAAGGGGGTCAACATTTTTGGGCCCTCGTTTTAGATATTTTACCGGCCCTCCCCCCCTAATAATTAATGACCGCTCCCTTATCACCTTGTCATTGATGCTGAGTCAAAATGAAACCCAGCCAAAACGCACTTTAAAAGTCGAACCTGATTGGCTTCAGTTTGAAGTGATGACAGGGGGCGGAGAAACATAACAGAGAACGGAAAATCTCGGCGAAATCACTTTTTGTCTTTTACAGAGAAGGAATTATCAGCCCGGTTGTCCTCACAAAACGAGTTATGGAACGGGCACGTTTTATTCAATTGCTACCAAACTTTACCACAATGTAGAACAATATCAGAGGAGCAAAACCGTGTTCGCGTTTTTCTTTTAATGCTTTAGTTTTCAAATTATAGGCTACTGTTCTATCGTTATTGCAAATTTTTGATGAGTCAACTTATCTGCTTTATATCTCGGCAAATATAATACCTGTCAAAACACGCGAACACGGTTTTGTTCTTTGATCATTTAACATGGGAAATGTGATATTTCGGAAGCTTCTGAGTTTAATCGGATGGTTCTAAAGCTCGTCGCGCGAAGTGCGTCATATTTTCAAAAGCAGCTCGTAGCAACCATAGCTTTTAAAAATGTATATTTTTTGTTAAAGTAGTAGCAGCAGCAATGATTTATCGTTGTGAGTGCCAAATTTGACGGGGGGAACTGAAAAATTTAGTGCTCGGCGAGCATTTTCCTGAAATGGACTTTCATCATGTGGAGTAACCTTAAGTTGCAATTATTCTTCTCTAGCTTCTAATACATTTTAATCTTGATGTGATTCCATGGAACTATAAAATAATATCTGATATGTTGTATGTATGTAATAAATATACAAATAGTAAAGAGTAAGAACCATTTTTGGTGTCAATGTTTTATATATTGACTATTTAAGATTTTAAGTCTATTTTTGCCATTGATAAACTGTGACTAAAATATGTTTTTCAGTGTCGCTGTCTTTTACAAAAGAACAAAATAGCTCAAAATGTTTTATTTGGAATTGGTGGAACTATATTTATATATACATCAACAATGATGGTTTGTCCATAGGGTTTGTCCTATGGGCGCCCTTCATACGGGTCGACAAATATTGATATTTTCGAAAAAATAATTAAATTCTGCCTACCCGTTATTCACAATATGAAGCTCCAACGATCTGGCATCATTTACAACAACTTGCACACTTGAAAAACCAAAATTGACTGCATAAAAGAGGATTTATTGTCAACTTTGTCCATTTCCGCAATACAAAAGATACAAATTATCACGCTCGGTGGGAACGACCAATATGGCCGCCGCACGTAAACTGCGACTGCGATCAGGCTTCAATTTTCGCCTGCCTACAGGGTGGGATGCGCTATCTAGTGTATATGAGATATCTATGGAAAGAACAGAGAAAATAGGGGCAAGATAAATATATAGCTCGGCATTCATCTTATTTATACAACCTTCTATTCTGCAGGTGCTATCGCTTCACAGTCCAATGTGTTATCTTACATTCAATTTGGACAATTCGTTATGATTGTAATGTTTGTTAGTTGGGTGTATGCAACCTTCTTTTTCCAAGCAATGTGCTGTATCTTGGGACCAGAAAACAACTCTGGTCAAATGACGGTATCCAAGCTTAAGGCAGGGTACAAGAAGCTCAAAGCATGCTTGTGTTGTGCAAATGCTGACTTAGATCACTATACGATGGTCAGGAAAGACGATAGTACAGAGGTAAAAAATACAGTACGAGTGTTATATGCCAAGGAAGACAATTGAAATTGGACGAATAAGTAACAGGAGCAAGTCTTCGCGCTTATTACTATTGCATGTTTACGATATTACGGTATACGGAGAAGTGCATAAAAAGAAATACCGGCCAACAATTTTGAAAAGTATACAATAAAACATAATCCGATGATTCCGAAGATTAGCATCTTGAAACTCAAATATAATCAAGCCGAGAAGGAGTTAATACAGTTTATTTAGGTGATATTTCGATTTTATTTCAATCATCAGACTAAGTAATGTTATCATCAGACTAACTGAAGTTATAAATTATAGAAGGTCTTCATACCATACCAGCTTGTATAAAAGATCTTGTTTCTATTGTAACTTTAGTAAGCGGTCTGATGATGATTTTGAAATAAAATATCATTGTTTTAGCCCTATCTTGAGTAATCTTCCGATTGTGTTTCGATTTATAAAAGTGCATAATTCATACGTGTTTTATAATGTTTTCACGCATTGATCAAACGGTAATTATATGAATATATTTTCCATACGTTTAACGATGAATGACTTAATTAATTATGCGAGTTGCCAACAAAATCAAATCTGAGAGATTTTACGATATTATTAGGTATCCTTGTATTTGTTTGAGTGAGGTATAAATAACAATTAAAATAATTTTTTAATGAACATTTGCATACAAATGAGTAAAAAAATACTGATTACTGATATTTAAAAATGAAAAAAATTATTACTGATACTGGTATGTAAAGATTTGAATTTGAGGGCAGCAATGCAAATTTTTCATTTATAACTAACTGTCACGCGTTTATCCTCTCGAAATAAATTTTTTACATTACATTACATTACATGACATGACGTGACGTGACGTGACGTGACATTTTTGTACTATACGATTTGTACCATTGCGAGACAAGATTTTATTTAAATCACTCATTCAAAATCCTATTCGTATCGTAATCGTAGCTTTAATTTAATTAACTATAATTTTCATACTCAGATCGATGGAATTAAATTCAAATATTTAACTCGTGCGAAGCAAAATGGCGGGTGTTAATAGAATGTAGGCCTAATATTTTTACGACAATGTAGAGTTATTAAATTACCACAATTGTCGTATTGATTCTCCACTAAGCTAAAACATTTTTGGCATTTCTGTTGGATTCCAGTTACTCTTGATCAATGCAAATGTATCTGAGGTATGTATTTATTTTGTATTTAATTCACTTAAAAATTTGATAAAATGTATCAATTTTCAGTATTCTGGTGTGGTATAAAACAAAGGATTTTTTTCATTGGTTCAACAGTAGTTATTGCAGTAGTTATTTCAACAGTAGTTATTTCATTGGTTCAACAGTTGTTATTGCCCCCGCAATAATATTGGTAAAAAATACTATTGGTAAAAAAAAAAATGAAAATGATTGCTGACGATCCTAATCACCATTTTATTGTAAAGCCGTTCCCTGGAGCAACAGTCTCAGATATGGAGGATTTTGTCAAGCCATTGACAAGAAGGTCACCGGACAAGATGATCTTACACGTCGGAACAAATGACCTGAGAAGTCGTTCTACGCCGAAAATAATAGCAGACTCCATTGTCAACATTGTAACACAAATAAAAGAAGATTCACCACGTACAGCTGTTGGCATTTCAGCTATTCTGGTAAGAAATGACAATAATGACCTAGCTGCTAAAGCTATTCAAACTAATAATATTCTTAAAAGCTATTGTAGTCGCAATAGAATCCCCTTTTTAAGTAATTCAAATATGAAT